GGCTACGAAACTACCAGGTAAGGATTACAGTAAGTCATTTTCCAAACTGCATGAATACTGGGGAGCAAAACACTCTCTAAAATGTGGGGTTTGGACTGACTGAAACCATGTACGAGCTCACACATTTGTTTTACCTGAGAGCAGGTATTCTGAAGAGTTTTAATGCTTCACTGCAACAACTGCAAATGGAAATACTTCATTTTCTTCTTAGAAAGCATTTTATTTAAACACTTGGTGAAGTATTTGTAGCACACTGACAGCTGTAATAGCTGTGCTGCCATAGGGACTAGCCTATAAAGTGAGGGACAGGCTGATGTCGTGTAAGAGAGATGTGGCAAAATATTACAAGTGTTTATTCATTTCCAGTTGGTTTGATAGCTGAAAAAAAATTGTAATGTTAAGAATGGTGGTGACTTATAAAGTCAGAGTCTTCAAGTAACACGTTTCCTGGAATTAAAGTAACAAGAAGTTTCTGCTCTGGCAAGTGAACAATGAAAACAAGATGGGGGGGGGAGGAAACACCTCCATGGGGAAGAATGTCAGTTTGACTAACTTCGTTTGAACAAGATGTTTGCAAACATGGAGTACACTCTCGACTATGAAGAAGCAGAAGCGCATCTGACTTCTAAGCAGCTCACCACCTTTGAAGAGGTTGTTGGATTTTACTGACTTTCTCCTTGCCCATAGGCTCCTGGAGTCCGTAAGGAATTATTATTTAGGGGATGACTTAATTCAAGGGTGGCCACAATTACTGACTATTGATCAGGCAACCAAACTGGGAATGATTAGGAGGTTGATAGATGAAGATGTTCACACGAGTTAGGCTTGGTTAGGCTGTGGTTTCCTGCAAAGTACACCAGTTTTGAATGCATTCATGAGATGTTAATATATCCCAAACCTTGACTTTATAATTTTGCTGGAAGTGCCACGAAGAAGTAATCAGTAAGACAGTAGCCTGTATTCTTAGGTATTTCTATAACTGGTTTGCCGTATGCAGATACTTTGTCCTTTAAAGATAAATACCCTTTCCAAATGGCTGTTTGCTGCGGTGGCTGGGGGGGAAAAAATTACATCTTATACCGTAAGCTTAAATTACACAATTTGATGGGCACATACAGAGTGAGTTTTTACAGATGCTTGGTTTTTTGTTTATTTTGGGTTTTGTTTTTTTTAAAGGTCTTACCAGATCGAAGCCATCCAAAACTGACAATGAGCGGAGGTGGAGGGTACCTTTTATCTGGTATAACTGTTGTCTTGGATAAGGGCAAATCTGATTCCAGTAATTTAGAAGCACTGAAGATGGAAGAGCCATCATCTAAAAGATGCAAAGTTCAAGACTTTCACTGTTAACATTTGAAAAATTGATTTGTTTTTTAGATCTCGGGAGTTTTCCCGTCAGTAAAATAACAAGTATGCTTTCTGTGCTCCTTACAGCACAGAAATGGTACCTGTCATACACCTGTCAGCAAAAAGCAGCAGAACTGCGTGGTAGGGAGGATTGTCTCGCTCTTTACCAGTTTACATCATCAGAATGAGAAAAAGAACCCTCGGAAGAAAACATCACACTGAAAACACAGTAACTTCAAAAGGAAGAGAAGATAAAGCATCAGTAAAGGCATTCTGTTGGTTTGTT